GGGTCGTCAAGCAATAATTGAACTTCAACAATCCACAACAACAGGTGTTCTCCTTTCTTTCCGATAAATGTGAAAGGAAGCTTCATCTTCACTTTGTCCCTTCTTACTTCTTTCTTTGGAGTTTCTTCTTTGGGGGGTCTCTTCATTGCATCTCCCATTAGTTTCTTTTCTGGTTCAAGCTTTGGTTCTTCCTCAATTTTCTCTTGTTCTTCCCTAGCCATCGATTGCTTTTGCTTAACCGCATTGATCAACGTTGCTAACTGGGTAGAAAGCAGATTCTTATCGGCGATGACCTGATCTAGCTTTGTCTCCAAGTGAACCAGGTAGGACATCATATTTTGCATGAGAGTTGCAATGTCACTTCCTTCTTCTACTTGCACTTTGCTTCAGATTTCATTCATTTTCCTCTCTTTCTCTTCTTTCTTCTTTCTTTGCTGTTCAATAGATTCCTTCTTCTTCTTCTCTACTCGCAATGCTTCTTCCAACTGCTTGATGTTTTGGTCAATCTTTATTTAATTCCTGTATGTTTTCCCCGCTTGTTTCTCCTTCTTTCCTTTTTTCTTATTCTTCAATGTGTTGAACATTTCTGGTCAGCATTTCAGCGACAAATTGGTCCAGACTGTGACAGACCCTGGCTAAGACCAGGTTCATTTCTCCTGCCACACGGAGGAGATCAACTCCTGTCATAGCCTGGTCCAACTATTCCTCGAAACTGCGCAGATCAAACTGGCTCCAGACATGGGCTTCTGCATCCGGGCCAGCCGCATGGATTTCAATCAGGGCCTACTACAATTCCAACTTTTCTCGGTCCCTGCGGACGTTTACTTGCCCGTGTGTACGTTCTTCATCTGCATACAACGTCAGTGAGACCAGGTGGAGAAACAAGGGAATGCACTTTGTCAATCCAGACACCTGCGCGCTGCGCCATAAGGAAGCCATCCTTAGAGATACCGCATAATCAGACTATACAATTATCTGTTCCGCAATCTCATCAGGAATTCAGAACAACAAAAAGAAAATAAATAAAATCCAATAATAATTATCAATGTCTTGATCTTTTTTTTTTTTTTTTTAAACGGGCCCAGTGCCCAAGGCTGATATTATCAACAAGAAGCTTGAGGCCGGGGTCCTCACAGTCTACCCGGAGTGACCAAATCAATGCCTTAATCTACTTTTCTTTTTAATGTACTTTGCTGCTTGTGATGTTGTTGACAATGTGTGTGGATTCCTTATGGCCCTGTGATCAGAAATCAGCAGCAGGCAGTCCACAGGTGAGACAACATCAGAAACCGCACAGGTAAGTCCACATCAGCATCAATCAACACATCAACGAGGTAAGTCCATATCAGGGCCAATCAAAGGCCTGACTCATATCAGCACTCAACGGGACACATCATCCTGCCTATCTTCAACAACTGCAGCATTTCTCTCTTCAGTATGCCATGTAGGCAACGCTATCACCGGTATGCCACGCGGACAATGCTCTTTGCCAGTATGCCACGTAGGCAATGCTATCGCCAGTATGCCAAGTGGACAATGCTCTCGGCAGTATGCCAGGTAGGCAATGCTATCGCCAGTATGCCACGTCATTGCTTAGTTGTCTTCTTCAACGCTCTTCAATCAGTACAGCTTCTACTGGCGATTTATTCCCTCGCGGGAACCAGCCAGTGAGCGCCACGTCAGCGCAGGCCTATGGTAAGAACCACTCTGCCAATCATGTTGCAGATAACAATGTCGTGCAAATGTCGTGAGATAATCAATCCAATAAGCCCATTTGTTCGAAGTCATTGAAGTACATGTTTCCTCACTACCACGTGTACATCTCAAAGTCCACATTATCCCGAAAAGGAGAAGAGGGGAGATTAGACAGCTGGAAGAACCTCTTCTCCTTCAAGGTCCCCACCTCTGCCATGTCAGCAATCTGTGTGCCATGTCAGCAATATGCACTCCATGTGCCACGTTAGCACTCCGTACTCAATATGCCATGTCAGCGTCAGCGATATGCACACAATGTGCCACGTCAGCAATATGCACTCAATGTGCCGCGTCAGCAATATGCACTCAATGTGCCACGTCAGCACTCCATGTAACACATGCATGATGTGCAAGCAGCCCCTCGCACATAAACGATCCTCCAACAGTGAGCAGAACCGTCAGCAGCTTCACATTTGAAGAAACCAGGTACGTATGCATAACGACTCACATCACACACATTCTCCCTCTCCCTCTCCTCATTCCCTTGCCGTCATCTTTAGTCGTGACTGTAGCCGCCCTCTCCCTCTCTCTACACTATAGTGTCTGGTTGGCGCCCATCCAGCAGCCTGGCGCGAGCACCTCCTCTCAAGTCTCACGTGCAGCGTCGTAGCCGCAAGCAACTCGCAAGACTGAAATCCGCAGCAGTGGCAAGGTCAACTTCATATATCGTTGACTCGCCTGTCCAAGGTCAGCGTTGGCCCAAGTGAGGGCCTGGATCATCCGATTTGTCCCAGTTTCGGTCTGGACTCCTCGAGGCCTGAATCTTCCGGAACCTGTAGACCACTGTTAGATCATTCCAGATCGATGGCCAGGAAATCTTTGTGTGTTGACTTTGACTTCTCGGATTTGGGCCTGGGTCCACGAGCTGACTATTGACTTTTTGGTCAACTGTCAGCCTGGGCCTTTTCCAAGGCCTGTTTGACCCCTCTTTTTCCATGCCAGCCCGTTCGTGCTTGTCTGTGGGCCCGACGAGAGCCCAGCGGCTCAATTTGGCACACGAGTTACAGCAATTCACTACTTTTTAAAGTCTTTTTTTAAGTTTCTTTATAGTCTTTGAATTAAGATTGGTTAGGAATGTTGACATAACAATGAGGCAAAAGTGGTTTGCATTGTTATTTTGCATAACATACTTTTTTTTCAGATTTTTCTTTTTTTTAATGGTACGGACATTTCCGGACCTGCTTACCAGTCCGGACCGTCTGGAACCATGCATGTCCGGAGGTCCGGATGTGTCCGGACGTCCGGACATCTGGACCCGACCGGACATGAGCTCTCCGGGTCCGGGTCCAGCGTAGCTATGGTCGGTAACCTGTTCTGTGCAAGGCACTTGGTTTAAGGATAGAGCAGGGCACGGTCGTATAGGTGTGCTCAGGTCCATCATTCTTACCTCTTTAAGAGGGTTTTATTAAACCAAGAGAACTGCATCCCTTCCAGTCCCTCCATCCCAGCAATCTTCCTTTTTTCCAAAACCTGTGTATGCGCGCGTGTGTGTGGTAAGAATACAAGACCCCAGCATAAAAGCTTCACACCAGATGACCTTCTCCAAAACAGCACATCGCAAGGCTATGTGCAGCCAAACATTAGTCCACGACTGAGACTGGCATGCCAACGTACAAAAGGACTTCAGACTTCAACACCACATCAAGGCAGCCACTCAGATTGACGGTTGAGAGAGGAAGGGTGAAGCGAGAGGACAGACAAGCAACAGTAGCAGCAAAGAACAAAGGCTGGAGGGTACAGGGGAGGCGGGTGGGCAGACAACCAGCAATAGGCAACCACTGGGTGAACAGGGCAGAGAAACCAGAAGAACACCGACGAACCATGAAGCAACAGGGCACGACAACACACAAACACACAAACCACCAAGAAAAAACACAAGTCCAAAAAATGCAAAGACTGAAAAAAAATAAAACTGATGACGAAATATTGTTTCGTCGGAGTTGCACCGACTCCTCAGGAGGCTGAACCCTCGACAATCTGCGGAATCCCCGTATTTGATGGTTTCGGTCATGAACCCTTTGACCCTTGTTGAAGGCAGACTGTCCCCAAGCGGAGCATAGCAGCAGGCAGCACCCTGTGGAGCACCAGGCAACACAGTAGAGGCAACACGGCTGCACAACACCAAAAACGACTGCAAGGAACAACATGGCACGCAGGGCATGCAGCGCAGCAACTGTGTAGCGAAGCACAAGACATCACAAGCAAGGCAAAAGCACTGCAGGGGACAACAGGCCAAGCGGACCAGCAGCTTGGCAACCGTGGAGCGGAGCACAAGGCACCAGCAACAAGGCAACCAACCTACAGGGCACACAAGCGGCAAACACGGACGGCACAGCCAGCAGATGAGCAGCATGGCAGTGGAGCAGCGAAGCGCAAAGCAACACCACAACCGAGCCACACCACACAGCGAAGACAGCAGCTTGCCAAGAACGACCCGCGAGGCAAGCGGAACGGGCAGCAAGGCAGTGGTGGAGTGCAGACGAGGTCATCCACACATCCAACACGGAGCAAAGCAGCACATCACCTACTCACATCACGGGTGAACCCCGCAGACTGTTGGTTCCCACCACCCACTGAGCCAGGGAGACACTCTGACGAGCATCCGTCATCACCTACAGGCAACACAAACATCCCAAACCGAGCGCCCCCCCTAAGAGTGCAGTTGGCACTCCAAACGAGGAACCAGCGACTGATTGGCACTACCTAAGGGTGCTCAGTTGGGCATACAGAAAAATGCTTAGAAAAAATCAGAGGGAGGACGGACAGTAGGAGAAGGACTGACAGACATAAAACTGATTTTTTTTTTTTTTTTT